AAAAAAAAAAAAAAAAAACACACATCATGGTAAAATCAATACATTCATCGCTCCGCTCAGAATCTAAAAGTAGAAGTTGATTTTAAGTTAGTAGATATAAATGATTTATATATAACTTAAATTAAAGTTAAGTTCATTAAAATAGCGAACTAGTAAGTTAAGTTAATAAGTTAAAATTAACTTTATTTATATGTTCATCAATGTAGTTGCTTAAGTCTAATAATTTTAATAATATTACGAACACGTAAAAGTATGAAACTAATACATTATACCTAGGTCCCTAAATACTTTGTGGTTGGATCGTGGATGGATATTTTTAAGTATTCAATATTCAAACTTACATAATTTCATAATATAATGGAACTTGATGATAATAACATCGAAATAAACTAATGTCTTATTGATTTATATGCTGAACCATTGACAATTGACATATRAATATATTTATAAAACATCAGGTTAGGTTAGTTTTTTTAAACATTAATTTTATATTTTTAATATGGGTTTATAATTGCTAAAAATGATAACAGTTATAAATATTTAAATAACGAATTAATATTAATATTAATAATTCAGTGTGTTTATGTAAATGTTAAATAGGTGTCACTGGTGTTTGGTGTGGGCTTATAGTTATATTATTCAGTATATAACAATGTGTTCTAACAATCTTTTTCTTTTATTCAAAAACTTATCTAACATATTATTTAAAAAGTAAGAACTAGGTATTATTTTAATTAATAAATATAACACATAGATATAACAGATAGGACGAACTAAAGGCCTTTATTTTACAAATCATGATAGTGGGAGTTATGTCACCCGATTACGCTTATAAACAACACCTTTGGGAACAAGACCGCTTTTTTGATCTATCTAGATACGTGCTTGACACTATATTATTTAGATTTAGGGTTCATAAAATTAACTATTAATTATTACTCTTATAATTTTTTTTTTACCATCATATAATTTTAAAACACAAAATAACTTGCTTTTAATTTATAAACTGATACTCTCGTGCCTTGCACATAAATACCTATATAATATGATAATATCACACTCAATAATAATTAAATATTAAGCGTCTATTTCTGATAAATCATCATATTTTGTAAATTACATGTTTTATGTGTGTTCAGCTCTCGAATTTTATTAAATTTAATTCTTAAATCTGACGCTAAGTCGTCTACCTGCAGTATAATCAAACATTTTTATTAAGGAATTTCATAACAATAATAATAATAATTTAATATGATGAAACAAATTTCTAAAAGAAAAAAAAACACTACAAAGTAAAAATGTAAAATCTCATAACTATTAACCGCCGCGCCGTTTTGGTCTCACAAGACCTGTACCCTCGACCAAAACATGTTGGTGTTTGCGCATTCCCGTTCCGCACTTCCCACTGACACACTTCATACTGACTGACCACCGAACACCCATCGGTCCATATCTACAATGGTCAGCCACGCCGTTACCTGTTGTTTATCGTGTCATCAAAAGTCATGACTCATGAGGAAACAGGAACGCAGGTAATACTCGAACGGTCAGTTGTATGCCCGAAACATTTATTGCACTAGACAGGTACTTAACATAAATATCGTTTATGGTCTCTCATGGACATGGGTAATAATATTATCATTAAATTATTTTTAATTTTAAAAACGAAAGATAAGCCCGCCCAATTATAAGATAAAAACGGACAATATAGTTAGTTAAGCCATATTTTAATTTTATATACCCATACCGAAAAAGTTAGCCTCAATATTATGCACATGGGTGAAACTAGAGTCCCATCAAAAATCCTACTCTAACTGATAAGTATTGAACAAATATTTGTCATTACGTTTACAACTAATTAGGTATACCTATAATAACGACTGTCGTCATTGATTTTTAATTGTTTTRTTATATAAGCAATCGTGTTACTGTGTTAGTATTATGTTGGAAGGATGAGGCGTGAAATAAAACATTAATCACAAACACCGTAGATATAGACGAAGAGGTTTTGATCATAATAATATGCACAGAATCGGGTGTACTAACAGTTAACTGTTTGATATTCGAAACGGTGCTGCTACTAGATCGAAACCTAAATTTATAGATGACTTTATACGGTGGCATGTGCCCCTCAGTTGGAATTTCATCCCTCATCCCCGCCCCCCATAAATACATAAAATATATAATAATATAAATACATTGATAAGCAGTGACTGTTGACTATTAATAAATGGCGAACATACACAGACATTTTATACTGACATGATCCTTGAGTAACTATACAATATTATATGATTACCATTGCCATGGTCGCATAATATAGGCCTAACTAGGGCATTATGTTAGGCACCTGGAGTTCTCCCCAGCCACTAATTAGTTTTATGGCGAAAAATAAACCACCAACCCCGCGAAATTAAACCCTAGACACTCTGCTACTAGCTCTAATACCAGTTTGTCGGTCGTTATTATCCACCAGCTTACCTTGAATACCAAAACCTGAACGTGATATCTGTGGACTACAAAGAGCTGGTGCAACCRCCGTGTTACGTGCAAGCGGTGCACAACGTTCCACTGGTGGGCAAATGCACAAAGATGTTACTGTTGAGGCTGTTCAGATTGCGGCCGGACCTGTACTTGCGTGACTTGCACGTGGTCGGATTCAGCTTGGGTGCTCAAGTTGCCGGCCACGTCGGACGGTTRATGAACAGCACTATCCAGCGAATAACCGGTATGAACGAATTATATTATTCTTTAACTATGATAGACCATGGTAATAATATTATGATCTAAGATTTTATTATTTTTTATATTTAGTCTAGGTGGTGAAGGTTCTTATTTCTTATTCGTACCTGTACACATAATATTATAATTATTCCTCTTACAGGCGGGAATTATACACACCAAAAAGATGATAGATTAAAATGACAAAATGTACACAAATATAAATAAAATTGTTCAAAAATATACACATCATTAGGTACCTATCAAATCCAAAAATAAAACCGGTAATAAAATATACGTTTAGTTAGGTACGAAATCTRTGAAATTTCGGATGGAAGGGGTAGATCTAATTAAATCATTAATCTTTTAAATACGACCTCGGCACCTCGCTGATCTATTTGCCCCTTATAATGGTATAACCATAATTTTGTTTATGACAGGTCTAGACCCAGCGTCCCCGCTGTTCGACACGTTTTTGCTTAGCAACGAAGTATTGGATAAATCGGATGCGATGTTCGTGGACGTAGTGCACAGTAACATAGGCTTAAAAGGAAAAATGGCGCCGCTAGGTCATTTGGACTTTTACGCTAACAATGGTATCATACAACCTGGCTGCGGTACAAGTAATTATTTCCTTTTTATTTTATATTGGTAKTGTACACCATACATATTTATAATAATTGGCTAATATTTGCCCATTGTAGGGTTATATTGATATAATTATCATAGGCGTGCGGCGTGCCATGGTCCACGCTGCGAGCAGTACAATACCCACTTGTTATGCGTATTACGACCTGATAAATTTTTATCATGAAACTTTAATAGTAAAATTAAAAATTACAATTTTCAATAATAAAAATTAATTAAATACATTGAAAAATTGAATTGATAAAATATCTCTTATTATCTAAATCAAGGGTGGGCAACTGGCGGACTGCGAGATTTTTATCTRGCGCACGCTATCCGAAATAGAAATCGATTTTGCCACAATGTCAATAGAAGTCGCACATGTTCAAAACTTACACTAAACAATATTTAATTAGATTATTTTTAATAACCCTTTTTGTATTACCTATTACATTATAAACAAAATAAATGCTAATTAAAATGTATATTTTGAATGAACATTTTTTTTTTTTTGCTTTCTATGCTCTGGCCCGCCAGAATTTTCGAATTTTCTAAAAATTGGCCTTCTTAGGGCACGTATTATAATAGTTGAACTTCGGTTAAACCACGGATTCGGCCGGAAAAATCAGTGGTTCAAGCATAACCAAGGTTTAAACTATTATTGTAAAACGAGTCCAAAGTAACTTTGAGTTGCCCATCCCTAATCTAAATCATAATTGGTTTGTCCCATAGGCGTGCGCAGACTTTATTCGCAGGAGATGCCAATACAATTCAAAATAACTCAATTTTTAACTCTCTTCAAAAAAAAAAAAAAAAACATAAATCAGAATTTTTTCTAAAATAATGTAATACATAACTACAAAACTCTGTTACGTTTATGATAAGAATTATGATAATATTGATAGTTTTCAGGGTTTTCACTATTAAAAGTAAAAACATAAAACAAGCTATCTGAGTAGACTGCAGGGGATGCCATGGCATACCCGGCATCCCCCCTGTGCACGCATATGCCMACTCCCACCATGACACTAAGGCTGCTCACACTTATGATAACCATATGTATTTGTCGTCGATGTTTTGTAAGCACTAATTGAGTTAAGTGAACTGTCCACAGATACGTCGTGCAGCCACGTGAGGGCTGTTGAATATTTTGCAGAATCAATTAATAGCAAAACACCGTTTTTGGCCGTCAAGTGTATAAGTTACATAATGTATAAGTTGAAATTTTGCAAAACGTCTGAAACGTCACCATTAATAGTTATGGGCGAACATGTGAACAAAACGTGAGTGAATATCTATGTGACGTATCTACAATTCTACATATAACAAACAATATGAACATTACAATGTTGAAAATTTTAACAAAAAAAGAATAGATGTAAAGATAATTTAAATGCTGATTTTGTTTTACAGCCAAAGAGGAATTTATTATTTTATGACTAACAGTAAACCGCCATATGCACAAGGAATGGATACATATGAAAAGAAAAAGACAATCATACCATCGACRACAGACTTGTCACAAATTGACCAAAATGACATACCTTTGACTGACCAATAAATAAAAAAATTTTCTACTATCCAAAAACAATATGTCAAGTATTCTAAATCCAAAATCAAAAGCATCAATATATTTTAATTTTATTACATGTCAATTTTAATAYTGTCTATAAAATATATTTCAATTGCTAAATACATAGGAGACATCTAAATAGAGTATAATTTAATTAGTATCTAACAAGTTTTGTAATTTTACTGTATCAAACTATGAATAAGGCAGAAATTGTCCGTTGTTAAATTACCAATAAACTGTTAAATATTTGCAAATAATTATTCATTTCAGCCAATTTTTGTTTTTGAAATTGAACCCCTATAGAAACAATAAATGTATTAAGTTCAATTGTAATAAAAAAAAATATTTAATTTTTACCCATGGTTTTGATGAGTAGACTTAGTTCCACTTAAAACTATGTAAGGAGATTGTGTTTCTTTCTGCTTAGATTGTAACATATTCAATGTACCAAGAGGTGTATCTGTTGAGCTCATTTGCTTCATTAGCTAAAAAATAAATAAATAATTTATTAACCATTAAAACCTATGAATACAAGTTATGTTTAATATAATAATTAAAAGTTAATTCATTACGGCTTCTTGTTCAGCTTTCTTTAAACGTTTCTCTATTTTATTTTTGCCAGGTCCCTTGCCATGGAACTTATGTGACAAATACCTAAAACAATTTTAATTTGTATAAATTTCTACTCATTTTAGATATTACAATTTTACAAACCTAAATGCTTCTTTTTCGCTTAATAAATGGCCATCATCGTCAATGTAATCCAATTTTATATTTGGTTTATAGCTGTCTTTTTCTCTGAATTCTACTGTAGGGCCACTATATCTATCTCTTCTACTCAATTTATCATCCTCAGCTCTAAATTCACAAACATAAAAATAATTTAATTAAAAATTAACAAAAACTTAGTTACAAATTAATGAATATTAATTTAAAAATGATCTAATCATTATGATAATATCTAACAATATAACTTACAAAAATGTTTTATCTTCAATAGAATAATTTTTAGCTTGTAAATGAGCAAATCTTGAAGCAGATGGTCGAGCATTTTCTTCTTTTTCGATATACCCTTTACTCATAGCCAATCTTAATGCACCAGCTACACCTTTACCCAAATCAGGTTCTGGTTCTAAGATCGGCTTGCTATCAATTGTTTTTAGATCTATTAACTTTTTCTCTGAAATTAACAAATTAAATGTAAAAAACACTTTTAATAAATAAAAATACAGCATACCCATTTCTACTTCTCTCCATCCATCATTAGATTCATCAGAGTCAACTGCATGTTCTTGTCTTAAATTATTTCTATCATAGTCCTAACATAAATATAAATTAAATACATTTTTTTTTTTTTAAATAAGTTTAGTCTAATTATGTATATTATATACTACCATCAATGATTCATCTTCTTCTTCTTCTCTATTCCCAGCTTTACCATAAGTTGGTATATCTCCGAGAGTTCTACAAAACTCAGCAGTAGAGTTTAACACAATTGCGCCTAGTGCATTATCATTATATTCAGCTTTCTAAACAAAATAAATTAAATATCAAATTATTTATTGAATATATATATACATACATATATATAATTTATAGGACATATCAAAAAAATACTTACAACCAATACATCAGACAAATCAGGTTTTCTATCAATTTTTTCTAACTGTTTCAATTTCCTTGCCTTTTTTAATGCCAATTGTAATCCCATGTCATCGTCTTCTTCATTTTCCATCTTCATACTATAGGAATTCATTGGCTTGTCTATTTAATAATTAAAATAGTTTTAGATATTTTATAATTTGTCTATTTTAGTCTTGATTATTACTTTAAGACTCATAATTGATTAATTAAGAGTATGGCATGTTGTACGAGTACAGTTATATTTATAGATAGACATATATCCTAAAAAAGCGCCTAAATAAGKAGTAGTTATGTCCCCAAACATTGCTATGGAAGCAGTGGTGAATGGTGATGGTAGTAAAATGAAGCTGAATAGTAAACACAATATACCACCAGTGCCACTAAGATTATAGAACTTTAATGCTAACACTACAGGATTATTGTTATACATTTATTATTATGATATTATATTAAAATATTACTTTTTTTCAATGGAAACAACTATATCATAATAWCATAATTGGTTGAATGGTTAAGTAACTGGAATTTTATTTAAACTATATCATTGAATAAACTAAAAAAGCAATTACCATGTACTTTTTGAACTTAAAACAATTTATATTTCAACACTGGAATTGCTTATTGAAGAACATTTCAACACTTAAGTTAAATTATATGGTATATTATTCTATACTCTTGGCTGCAGTTGCACTATTATTGTACATATGATTATACTATAATTGTATTGAACGTGCAACATGAGTTTTCAAACAATATTTTATGTTCGGCCACCAAGGTATGAATTAGACGAATTATGACTTATAGGTAATAATTAGTCACTAAATTTAGCTATTAACAATTTTTTTACATTCAAAATAAGTTCTCCGGACATACTTAAAAAAATAATTGGTACAAACATTAAAAAAATAACTAACTCCAAA